CTGCATGCACATGTTGCCATTTGGAAAGGGAGGGAACTTTTGACTGGCCTCTGGATGTCAGTAAAACATGGACCAGAGAGCTCAACCTTCTCCAGGCAGTAAACCTTCCAAGCAAGGTAGCAACCGTCTGTTCCCGGAAACAGGAAGCCTCCTAGAACCCCGTGTCCCAGAGTAATCTGAAAGTGGATTTGGCTACCAAATGGGCTGCCCCGTGAAATAACTCCAGCCCATCAATAACACTCCCCGCGATCCCATCCCAAGATTTTAACTTGGGACCAGGGTACTCTAGGGACAAGCTTCGTAATGAGGGAGGAATCTAAAAGGCCAGTGGTGTGTGTGGAACCCTGTTGTTCTTACCACGATGGATATAGTGGAAAGTCATCAAATCCCCATATGCTGCCTTCCACCCTAGGACAGGACACTACCACTGCTATGGCACATAGAACTTTTATAGGGCCCAGAGTCCTCAACATTCTAATCCAGATCTGTAAGACCTATCCTGTCTGTGACCTCCAAAATCCACAGACCCATCTACCTACCCACCCACTCTATTTGCCTAAATCAATGTAATGGCAAGGGACCACCCCTGGGGAAAATTAGAGAACAGATTTTATGCCCCAATGCAAGGGGTATACACAACTTTAAGTATGCAGACATACCTTTACTGGGTTGACAGAGGCCTTCCATGCCAGGTCACAATGAGCCTTACAGGTGGTAGAAGTCCTTCTCAAGGAGTAGTCCCTTGGTTTGAACTACCTCAGTCTATCTAGAATGACAGTGGGCCTTCCTTCACATCCCAAATTATTCAGGGAGTTGTCAAGGCTCTTAAATACTATCTTCATGCTGCCTGTAGACCCTAGTTTTCAGGGAATACGAACAAGCCCAACCAAACCCTCAAGTAGACTTCAGTCAAGCTGTGTAAGGAAACTCACCAGAAGTGGCTGGACCTTCTCCCACTTGCCTTAATGAGGCTTCAGGTACCTCCCAATGCCAAACTTAATCTCAACTTGTTTGAGATGCTTTATGGGAGATCCTTCCTGACATCTGACCTGCTTCCTAACACAGAGACTTCCCAACTCTTGCAACATGTCACCCATCTGAAAACCTTCCAACAGACCCTCTAAGAATATGGAAACAAGATTCTTCCACTCCCAAAAACAAGTATTGACCCAGGATCTGGCCCAGAAATGACAATGCTGTATGATACTCATCCAGACCCTTAAGCCCATCTACTCCCAATAACAATTGTTGGCCCAGGATCTGCCCCAGAAATGAGGTTCTAATCAAGCCCTGGAAGGAGGGCAGGCCCCAGGACCAACTCCCCACCAAATGGAAAGGCCTTTATACAACACTCTTAACCACACCCTGTATCATCAAGGTACAGGGATAGACAGTTGGAGTCACCTCTCCAGGAAAAACCCAAACCTGAGGCACGAGAAATTGAAGAGGAGAGGTCACAAACCCTATAACCTGCAGTCACAACCTTTCAACCTCAGAAGTTCTGCACCCATTTTCCTCCACTATACTACAGCCAAATTTCTACATGGCCAAGAAACTTCTCCACTTTGTGTTCTACTTTTGATCTCTGCTTATTTTTACTTTTTAGCACAACCACAGCTTTAGGAACCCTGGGCTTTGGTAGGTGACTGAGCTCCCACTTCACTCTCACAAGTGAAAAATACACAACATGAAATATAAATGCGTACATTTTTGAGAGAAGAAAAAGCTGCTGCTCGGATCAGAGCAGGGAAGGGAGCCAATGCTCCATCTGCTCAGCTCCAGGTTTCCTCCTCATGGCCAGTTACTTTCTAAAATCAATTTTTCAGAGAACACAGTAAGCAATTCCAACTCAAAAGAAGAAGAGAGCAATTTAACTGTATGGAGAAAAGTCAATATCTTACTTTATAAAATACATAAAGGAATATGAGCAGTTATCCTTACCTACACACTTGTAAACACTGACCAAAGACATCGAAAGTAGATTCCACCCATCAGAACTCAGTAACCACCCCCATCTACATTTGATGAGTTAGTCGTGAGCCAAGATTGATTCACATATGCTCTGTAATCTAGTCCAAATGGCAAACCACGAGGTCAGTGTTGCTAGCTACATTTTTATATGTTAAACAGTTTGACCAAAGCCTCTGAAATGGTTAATCTTGTCAGCTTGATGGGATTAAAGGACACTGATTGGCAAAGCACACTTTTGGCTGCATCTGGGTGGGTCGGGGGCTTGTGGCCCAGGGTATGGGGGGTGACCCTGGTGGTGACCGTGGGTGTGTCTGAAAGGAGAGGGTGTGTTGACCCTCTCCTGTGCTTTTCGTCAGTGTTCTGCTTTGGGGCCACCAAGAAGCAAGTCACCATGCCTCTCCACCATGATGTTCTTGGAGCCAGGCTGCTATGGGCTGGAACCTCTGAAATGATGAGTCCAAATAAATCTCTCTTCAAAGGGCAGGTGTCAGGTATCTTTCCCCAGCAAAGGGAAAGCTGACCGGTACAGTCTCAGAGTTAGTAGGTAGCAAGGGACCAGACGCAATTCCAGGCCTGCTGAAATCCAAAGACCGTGCACGCTCTTAGCACTGTGTTCTATTAGTCCTCATGTAGCTACTTGTGGCTATATGAGGTTTTTGTGAGGTTTTCATTTGTATTAACCATGTGTATAAATTAAAAATTAAGGATTTTTAATTTGGAAGGAAAAAATAAGTAGGAAGAGGTGTATTTGTTCCTTAAGGCCAAACGAAGCAAGCAAGGCAGGGGTGCTGAGATGGCTTGTGTGACCTGAGGTCACTATGAAAATGACCACAAAACACCACAAAGGCAGCGCTCCGAGGAAAGCCCTCTTCCCAACAGGGTGCAGTATTTTTCAATCAGCCAAGTCAACTCCATCCTAAGCTCCTTCCCTTCTTTGCAGTATGGACATTAGAAAAGCTGATGACAATGAGCCAAGTAAAAGATAGATAGTGGTCAACAGGGAATAGATCCTTCACAAATGGAAGGGGACCAACAGATCAGCTGAGGGGAGAGGAAGGGAAGAGGCTAAAAAAGAATCAAGATGCGCTCTGTAAATGTACCAACTCCATCGCAGGAAATGTGGTCATTATGTACTGCAAACACATACTAATAAATGAAAACTTAAAAAGTTATTAGTCTAGGGGCTGGGGATTTAGCTCAGCGGCAAAAGCGCCTGCCTGGCAAGTACAAGGTCGTGAGTTCGGTTCCCGGTACCGGAGAAAAAAAAAAAAAAAAAAAAAAAAAAAGTTATTAGTCTTCATGTTGCAAACACGGCCACATAGCTACATAGATAAGGAGAGAGAAAAGGAGAGAATGTACAAGAAGTTCACATCCTAATCTACCAAAAGAGAAGATGTTTAAAACTGATGAATCAACAGGTTGTAATAGAAGCAGTCAGTACTTTTAGGAATGTGAAGAAAAATGCTAGCAAAATCAGAAAGCTTTTAACTGTTCCTTCCGGAGAATTAATCACTGAGGGATGAAAAGGAGATACAGACTCTGCATTTGCTTCAGCATTTTAGCGCTATTTGGCTTTACAAATCGTCTAATATTTCTCTGATGTATTAAAAAAGAGGCGACATAATAAAGCCTACCTTAGCATTCTCCGTTAGCTCCATTAGTAGATCCCAATAAGCTCAGATTTGTGGTTTGATATGCTTTGTTGACCCAAGAGATCAGAGACACAAGAGATGGGAGGCGCCTGCACTGGGGGAAAGCGGTAGATTTGGAGTCAGAAGACCTGAATTCCAGTTTTGCTCTGATGTTCTGAGCTGTATGGCCTTTAACCACTGAGCCTGTTTACTGCATAAATCAGGCATCCAGATCCCAGAGAACCAGTGAGACAAATAATGTAGATCCTCACCCAGTGATGTAAACTAAGCTCATGGTGAAGTGCAAGGGCAGGGACCTATAAAGTCTGGGCCAGGTTGCTGAGAGCTGTGGAAAGTTTGACCCCTAGGCACAAAGATAGAGGCTGCTAACTCAAGAACAAGACCCTGAGAAGAAGCCAAGGTCTCTAGAGCAAGTCCCTAAGACTGTGGGTGTGTCAGGATTCTGTGGGCTCAGAGGCGAGTGTATCAAATGTCAGGATGTACCAAATGTCCCTCTGTGTTGTATGAGGCTCATCCAGACCCGTAAGCCCACTGGACCTCAGCAAGGGGCCCTCTTGAACAGTGTGTCTTTTCTAATTCTGGCCAGTTTTGAAAAAAAATACACCTCTAAAACGCTTGGCCTCATAATCCAATTTATAAAACCTTAAGGCCAAGAAGGAAATCTCCAGGGCAGGGTCTGACTCATCATCGATCGAGCTTTGGCATGTGTCTGGTCACAGCTGTCATTATGGGACCAGGAATCAGTGTAGCTAAATCACTCCAGCTCCCGTCAGCTGCAGACTCCCTCCTGGTTGCCTAGACTCCCTTTTCTCCTCCTTCTCCCTGCAGTGGTTCAGGGGAAAGGAGAAGCCTCACACGTCCATGCACCCCTGGAACTGCCACAGGACCTCGTCCCTCACAACTAGAGAGGCCCACATCCCACCAGACAGCACTCGTTTTGTTGGTATGTCATCCAGGAAAGAGGAAGGAAAATGCCCTGGGAAGCCCTGCGCACAGAGATCCTCAAACAAGAGCCCAGACCAGGCCTAAGGAACTCCCAGCGGTGCTCAGGTGACAGCATAGCGAGTCCAGCGTGAAAGTTCTCCCAGGTCCCAAGCAGCAGACTGCTCTCTGGGTGGACAGCACATGAGGGAAAACACAGACCTACATATCCAGTCCCCCCAAAATAAAACTGATTCTGTGGCACTCTACACTTGCAGGGGTTAATCATTAGGTCAGTTCCTACAATAATTAAATTAATAAAATGCATCTAGATCTAAGAAAACTTCACTGAGACCAGTGGGTCTTGCGTGCACAGGTAAGGAACCTGGGAGTAGGGTAAGACTGAAGAAGGGGAAATGAAGCAGTGTTATCAGCAGTGATTAAAATTCATTTTCCTTGGCTCGAGTGATTTCCATTTTATTACGTGTCCTACAATTGGTGATGAAGTTGTTTGTTTTTCCTCACTTCGGGGAATTCTTCTGTCCTACGAATAATTCTCCATCATCTGCTTTTAAAAGTATTGTGCAACTTCTAAATAACAATTTTTAAAGTCAGGCCGATACTGCCAACTCCCTCTGGTTAGGGTTTTCTGCATCACCTACAGAAAGATGGCCGTACTGCCCAGAGCCTGTCTGGGAAATTGGCCTGTATATCTTGTGCCCCAAAGCATCCACTTCCTCAAAGACGTAGCCAGGGGGCTCAGGGTATGAAGCTGGGCACCTGCCCATTTCTTTGGGAGTAAAGCTGATGGTATAGGTGGTCTGGCCCTCCAGGGGAATATTCCCTCGCGGGGCAGACCAGATGGGCTTACAGCTCTTGGTACTGACAGGTGGGTGGGGCACATAGTAGGCCTGAGTGGTGGTCAGGCAGTCCAAGGGCTCAGTGGGACGGCCCAGCTGGGGAACGGGCTTGACCGGCTCTGTCCGTGTGCTGGCCCACTGCTTATAATCTTCTTTGGTGGTGGTGGAGCTTTCAAAGCGGCTGCTCTTCCTAATGGGGCGTACCGGCCGGCAGGACTGAGCAGGGGTGCCCTTAGGGCAGGTGTAGTGGGATTGGACCGTTGTCAGAAAGTCCATCTTCTCTTCAGGAGGGGCATAGGTGACCGGAGCCCTGGAGAACACCTGGGGCGTGGGCCAGGCTTGGTACTTATCTCGAAACTCTGTGGTGTTAGAGAAAGGCATGTCTAGCCCAGGGCCCCTGGCTGGAGGCTTCAGGGTCTTAGCGGGTTCCCCTACCAGCCCCCGATAGGACTCTTTGTGGGTGGTGAGGCTCTCAAAAGGGATATCGCAGGGTCTAAACTTCTCTGCCTCGTGCACAAAGCGCTTCTCCACAGGGTGGGGCACGTAGCTCATCTTGTAGTTAGTCAGATCCTCCAGGGGGATGTTACAGAGCTTTGGCACGGCTGGAGGTTTACAGCTCCTGGTGTTCACAAGGCCCTTCATTGGGTAGTCATCCTGGTGTGTGGTTCTGCTGTCAAACTTGGGTGCTGGCCGGTAGTTGTGTGGCGGACGGACAAGCTCTTGTCTTGGCTGGTTCCAAGGTATATAATCCGCTAAAATTAAAGCAGAAGTGATTAATAATACATTAGATCCATACATTCTAAAGGACCCCAGAGCCATAAGCCAGTTTCCAAGGAGGCAATCTCTGAGACAAGAGAACAGAATAGGTCCTTGTTACTGTCTCAGCAAGAGCTAGAAGTCTCAGCTCTATAGTATTTGCAGGCTACTGTGCAGAAGAGACAAATTCACTCAAGATTTCATCACACTCCACGAGGCTGCGTGCAGGGATTTTAGAGAATGCATGGTTGTGGGAGGATTTAGTGAATTCACTCCAGAAGACCAATCAAATCTGGCTCATCCTGACGCAAAGGCAGTTCCCTTCCTCCACCAGGAAGGCATCTCTCATCGGCACAGGGCGACTGGGAAGACACATGCAGTGTAGGAGGCAGAGGACTCAGAACCCATCACTAGTGCTTAAAATTTTTTTTATTTTGACATATTTATTTATTTTGACATATTTATATTTATTTTGACATATTTTTTGACATAGTTTTGCATGCTTATATCTGGTAATCTGAGCAACTGATTTGAAGACAGAAATATGCAATATGACAACCATTGGTGAATTCCAACCATCTTGTCTAGTGACTCTCCATATCATCTCTAATTTTTTTAATTATTATTTTTTATTCTCTTTAATGGTTTGATCATCTTGCATTCTTATACGAAGAACTGAGTGTTGCTTTAGGAAATCTGCAAAACAGATACACTCATACCACAGAGGGTTATTGCAAAGATGAAATAAGATTATTTATTATAATAAATAATATATTATATATTAATACAACATGATTATGAGCAACTTCATTGATGATAACAATATGTAATGTAACAGCCACTATTAATTCCTATCATTTTGTTTTGAAACCTTGTATCATTTTTAATGTTTTTGCTTTGTTTTGTTTTTGCCTGTGATGTTGGTATTTTGCTACTGTTCTTTTTTTTTACTATTCTCTTTAAAATAAAAATAAGAAAAAATGAAAATAAAAATAAATTTTATGAAGCAGCATTCAAAGTGCTTTACATATTAATTCATTTAATCTTCAGATAGCCCTAATAAAGTGAGTACTAAATAACCACTTTACAGGTGCAGACACAGAGGCAGAGATATTATGAAATTTACCTCCGCTCACTTGGCTAGTAGAAAACCACAGTCACACTCAGATCCAGAGCCTGTGCTATGCAATCCGCTACCTGATTTAACAAAGAGCAAAGACTTGTGCCAGCCAGGCTGGCGTTCAAGGCTTTGCACGTACAATCTTACTTCATCTTCACAATAACCCTCTGTGGTATGAGTATCTGTTTTGCAGAGTTCCTAAAGCGACACTCAGAGAAGCGAAGAAATTTGCCCCGAAGTCACATGGCACTGTGTTAGCTTTTGTCACCGTGACAGAACACCTGACAACAACAACTTAAGAGGAGAAAACATCTACCGTGGCTCCAAGTCTCAGAGGTTTCTGTCCGTGGTCAGCTGGCTCCATTGCTTTTAGACCTGAGGCGAGGCAGAGACAGCGCGACCAAAGAGAGAGACACAGACACCGAGCGCACCGCAGTCTGGGCTGGGAGCTCCCTCCTCTTCCTCCTTTCATTTCATCCAGCTGCAGCCTAGCAGCTGCTGCTGCCCATATTTGGGGTGGCCTCCCCCATCAGCCCGCCGTCCCCTCTGGAAGCACCCTCTCCGTCACACCCAGAAGAGTGCGTTACCAATTTCCAAGGCATCTCTCAACTCACGTTAACAACCCGCATGAACCCTCAGAGCTCATGAGAGTTAGGAACTGAAATTTAACCCTTAGGGTTGACTCCAAAGCCACGCTCTTCCGACAGCCTGCTTCACAACTACTGACACTATTTCTAGAGAGTAAAGCGTAAAAAAGTAATAACCGGGGATACATATTTGGAGAAGGAGGATGTTCAGAATGCTTGAAAAATAAAAACAAGTGGGGGCTAGAGATTTAGCTCAGCGGCACAGCGCCTGCCTGGCAAGCGCAAGGTCGAGAGTTTGATTCCTGGTACCGGAAGAAAAACAAAAAACAAAAACAAACAAACAAAAAAACAAACAAAAAAACAAACAAAAACAATTGGCCAGCTCTATCCATTCATGTCCATCTCAAGAATAATCTCAGCAGAGCTGGGATAGCCAAGATGAAGGGGGCCTGGACCTAAGGCAAATCTGCACTAGGATGGCCCCAGCCCGCTGAGGAGCAACAGACACTGCCTCAGACGGCCCTGCAGGAGTCTGCACAGTGCCTGTGCCACCCAGAGTCTCAAGGCAGCCCCAAGACTGAGAGAGCAGGTGAATAAAGGGGAGCAGTGGGCGCTGCGATTCGACCACCTTGACACGGTGGCCTTTCTCTCCGGAGTACTTGGCTCACAACCAAGACCTGCACTGCCTCGTTGTGCCCATAAATTACCAGGCCTGAAGAAGCCCACATGAACCTAATGAACGCTCTGGATCCACAGGGAATTCTTTCATAGCTTTACAAAGAGAACAAATGCAGGTTTCCGGGAGCCCTGGAGGGCTATCATCAACATCGGCAGCGTCTACAGGCATGTATTTTAGCAGTTCTATTGAGGTATAATTTGCATCACATAAAACACACATTTAAGAAACATTTGCCTAATCCAGGGTACTACAGATTTTCTATAACGTAGCTATCACATTCGGGTCTTTGATTTTGGGGGGTGGAGCTGGGTTATTTGTTTGTTTCTTTTTTGGTGGTGGGGATGGTGGTGCTAGGGATTGAAAACTGGGCCTTGTAAAAGCTGCCCAGCGCTGCACCCTGAGCAACACCCGCAGCCCTTACTCCCTTAACTTTTTAGTGAGGGGTGAGGTTTTGCATATGGATATCCAAATGTCCCCGCAGCGTTTATTAAAAAGAATGTCCTCTGTCACACTAAAGTGCCCGGCACTTCTGTGAAAAATGTGGCAATAAATCTGAAGGTTTATTTCTGTGCTATTAATTCAGCCCCATTATCATTTTATTTATCATGTCAGTATTACAATCAGTATTACACTGTCTTGATTACTGTAGCTTTATAGTAAAGCTTTCAAACTGGGAAATTATGCAACTTTGGTTCACCAAAAAATTAGTCATTCTGGTTTAATTTAATACATAAAATTTACAATTGCCGTATCATTTTAAAAATGTTCTGAAGATAACAATATGTAATGTAACAACATTGTTAATTTCCTATCTCCTTGTTTTGAAATTCTGTACTATTTTTATTGTTTTTATGTTGTTTTGTTTATGCCTTTGTTTTTGTTATTTTGTTTTTGATATTTTCTCTTTAAAATTCAAAAAGAAAAAGAAAAAAGTATATATACGTATATATAAGGATAGCTGGAATAAATATACTACTGATGTCTGTTGGTTTATTGAAAGGAACAGCTAAGGCTTAATTTTTTTCTCTTCACCAATTTTGCATGTTTATATCTGGTAATCTGCATATAGGATTATTGTCTGAAGATAAAGACAATTTCATGTCCTACTCTCTAATCTAGATGCATTTGATTATTTGTTTTCCTTGTGTCATTGCATTGGCCAGCAGCTCCAACGCAATGCTGAAAGAAAGGTAAGAGCCGACATTCTAGCCCTGCTATTCATCTGAGAGGGTAGGTATCTGGCCTTCCCACACTAAGGAAGGTGCTAGCTGTGGAATTTTTTGTTGGTGTTCTTTTTCGGGCTAAGGAGGTCCCTTCTGTTCCTAGCTTGTTGAGAGCTTGTGTGATCTTGTCAAGTGTTTTTGCTATCTATTGTGGTTTTTGTCTTTCACTTTATTAATGTGGTGTATGACATTAATTGATTTTCTGATGTTACATCAACCTTGCCTTCCTGAAACAAACCTTACAGTTTTATCATTTATTCTGAAACAGCCTTTTAAATGTACAGGAAAAGAAGAGAAAGAATGTATCACATAGCTGTACTGACAAGTTCTCCACTTCGCCATACGGATTTGTGCTGCCGTCTAGTTTCATTTCCTTTCCGCCTGAAGGACTTCCTTTAGTATTTTTCGTAAGTCAGATATTCACACAGCTTCTCTCTCTCATATATTTATTTTGTCTTCATTTCTGAAGCATGTCGGTGGATATACGATTCTTTGGTTGACTTTCTCTCTTAGTGCTTTTCCCTTTTAGCGCTTTTTGCTTTACTGCTTCTGAGCAGGCTCTCTGTGAGTCTCACTTTCGTTACTCTGCATGTGATAAAGCGCTTCCATGGCTCCTTCCCTAACCTTTGTCTGGGCTTTCAGCTATGGGTCTATAATGTGAACAAGTGTGGATCATTTTGCGTTTATCCTACTTGGATAGCGCCTCTTGGATTTATAAATATCTTTCATGAAATTTAAGGAATTTCAGCAATTAACCCTTCAAACACCTTTTCTGCCCTCTTCTTTTATGGCTCCCATTGTGAGAGTACTGACACGGCAGGTGGTATTCCACAAGTTTCTGGGTCCTGTTCATTTTTAATTCTTTTCTGTAGGTCAGACTGGATAATCTCTACTGAGCTATCTTTGTTTTCATTAATTCTTGTGCCAGCTTACTTCTGCTGTTGAGTGCCTCTAGTGAATACTTATTTTGGTTATTGTCCAGCTCTAGAGTTTTCATTTAGTGTTTTATGATTTCTATCTACTAGTATTCATGATTATTAATTGTTGTATGTCCTTCATTTCTTTAAATACAGTTTCCTGTTGTTTTGTGAATATATTTGAAATAGCTACTCTGAAATATATTTTTCTGCTAGATCTGACATCTGGGTTCCTTTAAAAATAGTTCTAATTGTCTCTTTTCCCTCACGCATGGACCATACTTCCCTCTTTTTGTTTATGTCTCACAATTTTTTTTTGAGACAAGGTCTCACTATGAGTTCAGTCTGGCCTTGAACTCATTATGTAGCCCAGGCTGGCTTTGGACTCATGTAAATCCTCCTCCTTCAGCTTCCTAGACATTTTTCTCCATGCCCAGCTTTGTCTCATAAATGTTTGTTAAAGACTCAGT